GTTGCCATAAATATTTCTCTCAATACCTGAGAAATTATTTTTCACATTTTTCTAACTTTCATATTTAATCTTAAATGCAAGTTTTTTTTTAAACCTTTTTAAATGTTTTGAAGTAATTAAATGGTGCAAATTTAGACCGTCTTGTGATTTAATTAAAAGTGTTTTAGTGAAATGATTTTAGTTTGCTTCGAGTTCTTGATTTTTGAGCAAATCTCGAAATTTGGCATGCAGCTGATTTTATTTCTTTCATTTTATAACTAACTTTAAATGTTGGTAAAAGAAGATTCAGGGTATCTCCTAGTCGGGAATTCCTGAGTAGATATGTATTTATTTAAAAAAACCGTTGGAATATTCTGTCTACATATTTTTAATATATAATAATACAGTTTATCTCTCTACATACGACTGTTTATCCTAAGTGACTGATTGATTGCCGGACTGACTCGGGGATCAAGTTTATATTTGTATTCTTTATGCTTTAGATGCCCACTAAGACAGGGGTTTGGTAATTTCACCTGAAAGTGTGAAAAAGTCGTGAAAAACGTTTCAACGAAACTCTTTAGCTAGCGATCCGTTTAGGCTCAAAAATAATTTTTGAAGATCCTTGTTCAAATTTATTTTCTGACAAACACAAAATTAAATTTTTTAGTTTCTTCCAATCGTTTTCCAACTATTTTTTAAGTCCGACGTAAGCTTCTTAGCGATTTTTGATATTCTATCCGGAACTATGTTGAATTGCCGAAAAATGGTTGCATAAAAGGTTTTATTTACCGTCCAATTGACTGCATAGATTTTTGTAACAAGTCATGTGAAACGTGTTTCAGACTTTCGGTAAAAAGCCTTCCTTCGATCGAACATATGCTATGTTTCGGGTGTAAGCTCATTTGCAAAGATCTCTATGAAAATTTGTTTGAGACGAGGGGACGTTGAATGGGTATTTAAAGGTTTCAAATTCGTGGAGCACAATTTGGTCCGAGCAAAGCTATGTTAAAATACATCTATCCTCTTAAAACTTAGCCAAGCACATCTTATGGTTATTTCCCATTACAGTTTATACCTATTCCAAACAAAACTGTATAGCTCTTCAGCAAGTCGGACTTGGCTGGCCAGAAATATAAAAAGATAGGGCGGGAAAGATGTGCAATTTTGATGCGTGCAGGGTATCAAAATTAATGTGGCAAAGGCACTTGAATACTCGTATTCGCATTCCTATTCACATTCGCATTCCCATTCATGTGAGCATTTGTTATGACTGACCTGTCAATCGAGAGCTGCAGAAATATAACTTACAATCCATTTAATACATATAACTCGCTGGGTTATGGGCTAGAAGGCAGCAGCGGCAATGCGACAAAGTTGGCAATGCAATAGTTTTGTTGGCAAGTGTAGAAGGTGGCAAGTGTAGAAGTAGCAGCAACGGCAAAATACAAAAAAGTGTAGCATACGCGCAGGCTGCATCGTTTTAGGAACAGCCGCCGACGCCGTGAGGCTAAAGCAATGTAGAAGATGAACACAGAAATGCAGCAATAAAATTGCAACAGCATGAGATATAAACGTTGCAGCAACAACGAAAGCAACACACACAGCACACACACATACACACACCAGTACACACACAAAGACAAAGTTAGAGAGACATTCATTCAGATAAAAAGAGTCGAGTTACACCTACAAGTCAGCATGAGGCGCGGATTTGGTTAGGTAAGTTTGCTGGCGTGGCGAAGGGGCTGGTTGGGTGGGTTGTGGGGTAGTGTGAGAGGTGCTCTGGCCATCTATCTATCTCTGTCTATCTCTGTCTGTCTCTGTCTGGCACTGGCACTGCATTAGCAGCCAGCTGTGAACGAAATAAACGTAAAAATATACGTTAAAATATTTTTAGTGTGAACAATTCCGCAAAAGCGAGAAGCGAAAACTGAAATGCTGAGAAAACTTTTCGCAAGGCATTACACACGAACGCACACAGAAAGAGACGCACACACACACGCAAGCACACATATACAGCTGACAAGATAACAGGCACACACATACACACACACACACACACACATATACATGCACACAATAAGTCGTGTTTAGTTAGGAAATGCTATGTGTGCCAAAAAAAAGGGCAGCCAAAGGCAGTGTTTTCATGTGTATGTGCGTGCGTGTGTGTGTGTGTGTGTGAGTGAGTCAGGTGCTGGTTTTGCTGTCAGTTTTGTAAACAAACAAAGACAAAGGGATTTTAAAAATAATAGCCTAGGAATGCAATTTCAATATATATCGAATATATATATTTAATGCCATTGTTCCCCTAATGCAGTCAATATGTTCTATTCAGATATTAAACAAAACAATGCAACAACAAGGCAAAGTATACATATATATATATTATATATATATGTATATATTTGGTACAAGCTAGCTTGCCGTTTCGTGCCTAATTGTGTGCACACATCAAAAAGCTAACACACACGCCGCAAACACTTCAGATGGCATCTCTGCCTGTGCCTTTCCCAGTTTCACATGATGAGAAATGTAACTTTAAATAAGTTTTGTGTGAATTGTCCGATAATTGTATTTATATATATAAAATAGAACAAATATATTTATATAAAGGAAGCCTACTTAACGAGTGAGTTGTCTCGAGCTTCTGATGGCCATGAACAGATCGACTTGGCTGTTGATGATCATTTGGCCTGCATTTTTCCATTCTATACATTATGCTTGTATTGTACTCCTTTTTTTATTCAAAAGTATTTCTTTTAATTTTAAACACAATTCTGATTGTCTATAGCTGATAGCGTAAATGCTTTCGATAGATTGAAAAATCTACAAAAACCAAAGGCAAGCAGACGTGCTCACAAAGATAGTGTCCCACATGGGGACAGCTGGCATCCAGCTCAGAATAGAAGCAGCTGCTAGACGAGCTTTGAATATGGTTTTAAGCACAAATAAGTTGAGAGTTTATGTACGGCTGGCTCTGAAGTTCGTATAAGTGTGATACACGAACTGCTTGTGGCCCATAAAAAAGCGTTGCATACTTTTGTGGGCTGGCTGAGTGTGTGGTTTTGATTTTAGCTGTTGGCCCGCACTTGACACTTTTGTTACGGCTTTACGGCCATTTTGCATGCCACAACTCGGTGGCAGACTCGCAAACTAGTTGTTGCTGTTGCTTTTGTCTGCGTCTGAAATTAACAGCATTTATTTCATTGCATTTTTATGCGCCTCATTGCGGACGACATTGTCAACGTCGTCGTCGTCGTCGTCGTCGTCGTCGTCGTTGTCGTCGTTGCCGTCATTGTCGTCGCTCGAGTCTGTGCCTGGGAAAACAAAGGCAACTTATTTTTATGCTATGCGCGTCAGCGGCAGAGGCAATAGACAGAGACAGAGAGAGCGAGATAAATAGTGAGAGAGCGGGAAAGAGAGACAGAGTACAGTCAACGCCCCTCTTTACCCACATATGCAGGGTTAAGTTTCATTTTTATGCGCTTTTGTTAGCAGCAGCATCTCTTTCTGGCCATTTTTAGTTGTTGTTGCTGTTGTTGTTGTTGTTGTTGCCGTTGGCAACTGTCATGCAAAGTTCGAGTCTAGAGTTGACCTGAAATGTGAAAAGTGTGAGCTGTTTGGGCGTTTTGTTGTGTTATATTATGTTTTGTGTGTGAGTGCTTGTGTGTGTGTGTGTGTGTGTCTGTGTCTTCATTATTCGCTGTTAGCCATGGCAATACCGGTTACTCAAATTGAACAGCCAGCTGGACACGCCCACAGTTCTGCTGCTATCAAGCTTTGCCAGAGTCATCAAAGTGTCGACTGTCAGCTTAGTGTTGGATATCATGCAAATTGCACAACTGTTCCACACTCTAACACAAACGCACACACACGCACACACACACACACACACACATATACAAACACATTCGTCGCAAATGAATTGTCAACAGAGAGAAATGTAATCCATTATGCCAGATGGATGCATCTACATACAACTGATCAATCTGAAAGCCATGTCAGTCCGTCAATCTAGCTTGGGTTTCGTGCAATATACAACTGTTTTGATTGTCATTCCCACAATTAATGTACTATAATATTTTATTTATAGTCATCTATAAATACTAGCAGATAGCCCGTCGACACTTTCAAATTTCCTTTGCAAATATCCGTATTGATATATAAATATGCATAGGAATATTGGCAGCAGGGAGACGAACAGAACAAAAGAGGTACAGAGCAAAGCAGGAACAAGAGAAAGATAGAGAAAAAGAGAGAGAGAGAGAGAGCGAGAAAAGGAAAGAGAGAGAGAGAGAGAGCGGAGGAAAGAGAGAGAGGGACAGATTAAAAGCGGACATAAATCTGTTTTAATTGCCAACAAAACTTGTTTAGATAATACTTAAACCATGTAAGTCCTTCTTGAATTTATGAGAAACGCGTAGAAGGCCAAAAAAACTTATTTTTCCTCAAAATTAGCAGCGCAGTCAAATAAAAACATTGTACATGCACACATGCATACTCACACATATACCTATTGAATACTTATTGAATTTATGAGAATCGCATAGAAAGGTCCCATAATAAAAGACGTTATTTTATATAAATATGCAGCACAGTGAAAAGCGAACGTGATCGGCGCTTGCTACTGCCGTTCACACATGCATACATACAAACATATATGCATTCTTACATACATACACACACATGTACATACATATACGTACATATACACATACAACCTATTTCTCAACGTATTAAGCTATTATTAGAAACGAGAGCGAGAGACGCTTATCAGCATTCGTAATCGGCTAATCTAAGTATTTGAATGTCGGAATACCCGACAACCCGACCAGACATAGTATCAGCTCTTGGGGCTAACAAGCTGCCACAAAAATGTTGTAAAAATTAGAGCTGACGTTAGAAATAATTTTGAATGAAATTAATAGTCTTTGCGAGAATTGTCGCAAATTGTTCGTAATACTTTTTATAGTTTTTGTGTATCTTTGTTGTTGTTGTTGATTATTTAAAGAAATATTATAAAGCATATTAAAAAACTTATGGAAAAGTTTTGAAAAAAAAGAAAACTTGTGAAACTTAAAAGTTTGGCACTAAAAAGCAATAGCAGTCAAGTGCAGCCAAAAGGTGAAGCTTCAGCAGTAACAACTGCAGTAAAAAAGCAGCAACAGCAGCAGTAACGGCAACAACAGCAACAACAACAACAACAACAACAACAGCAGCTGTAAGAGCAACAACACCAACAACGACAACATGGGAAAAAAGAGCTCGAAATTGAAACAGGATACCATCGATCGTTTAACAACCGACACATACTGTAAGTATACAGCCATCCATCAAGAATATTTACAATATTATAATAATATTTTTGGGGGCCTAAAATAATTATTTGATTGCCATTTTTATTTTTCACAAAATTTATAGCTCACATCAATCAAAATAAACAATTGGAATGCTACACAAATCTTGTAGCACTTGTGGCACTTAAGAAGCTCTGTGGAAAAGAAAAACCATTTATTTAGCTAATTTGCCGAATTTTCCAGTGCCTATTCAAATGGTCTGGCACTCAATGCTTGACTAAGAAATTGCATAGACCTTACCTTGGCTGCGGGCTCAATCCAAACAATGTTGATTGAGTTTAGTTGCCTGCCGCCTGTCAAGTGCTTATATTATACTTATTATTTGTTGCTCTCACTCAGCCGAACCGCGTTAAGAGTTCGCCTTTATTTCACAGTCTTTTGAGGCATTTATCTATTAGAGCTGTGGGCAGGACCAAGGCACAAACAAAACATCTGAATCGCTGTGCCTTATGTAAAAGCGTGGAGTCGGATGTTGCCACAACAACGCCAGCAAGGCAAATTTCACTTTGTGTCCGCTTATAATTCCCAACTAGTTAAAGAGTCGACTTAGACAAGTTAGCTAGCAGGGGGCAGTGTGAGGGTTGCCAGGACAGCTGTTTGTGCTGGATAATTCCAATTCAACCAACTTATTATGCTAATGAGTCCTGTTGCTCCTGCTGTTGCTGCCACGGATAAGCTGGGTCTTGTCTAATTTTTTTTTAAATACCCTGTAACCATAAAGCGAACGTAAAGAGGATTTAATGCGCAAACAGAGAAATGCTTGCCATGCTGCATTAATAGGCTTAAGAGTTGTCAAACAAGAGCCAAAGACAGATGGACGCATAGACTGGATTCAGGAATATATGTATATATATATATAAATCTGGCATATGTGGCTCGGTTCGACTTTTAAAGTTCTGTGTAGAGGGCATATCAAAGCTGCGCCGCAGTTTTAAATAGAATCTTCTTGCTTGCTATATTTGTTTATAAGTACTTTATTTTTATTTCTAGTTTTATTCTCTGTGGGCTGCTTAAAAATGCAAGTCACCAAGTTTGCGCCTAAAAACTTTGTTGACTAATTGCTTTTTAAAGTATTTTCGTATTTCGTGCTCCGCTGCTGCTGCTGCTGCTGCTGCTACTGCTGCCTTTTGCGGTCCAAGCGAGGAAGGCGACAGACGGGAACATAAATAATTACGCCGCCGGGGGGCATTCGGTGCACCTGGTTGGGCTTCAGCCAGAGTAGCTGCTGGCGCCCTCAAAGTGTTGACAGATTGCTGCCAAGTTGCCAGTTCTTAATGTCCTGGTCCAAGCAATTTGTCTTGCGCCCCTTAAGTCGTGCCTGCTTCTCGCTCCAGTGTCCTTGCTTTCCTTAAAAAAAAAAAGGAAAAAACACACACGGACAATTTCTTGAATTCCATCTTACACTTTGCTATGCAGCTCAATAATCTGTCTAATACTCTAGCCTAATACTTAAAGCTGGGTATATATGGCTAGCTGATAAATATTTCATTTAATTGAGAAAGAAACGGCTTTGGCAAATGAAGAAGAAGCTAAATAAGTTAAAGCCTTGCTGTGTGCGGGCTTCTTGGAGCTTTTGTCTTTTGTTCGGCAAACTCAAATGCAATCAAATGCAGCTTTGGCCAAATTTCTTGGAACATAACTTTCTCATAAGCTGGCCACGCACTTGGCTTAAAGTTTGCTGCGCAAAACTTTGGCCCAAGACATCATACGAAAATTTCAAATTACTGTCTGCACCTGATAGCAGCTGAAACAGCAGCAACGACAACAACAACAAAAACGAACAAAATTTTAGTTATTCGCCAAACAAATGAACTAGAAGTCAATTTATGAACTTTGTGGGACAACGGGTCGTATGCGCGATATGGAAAAGTTTCAGCCCTGGACACGTTATCGTGCTGTTCATTGTATTTGCTGGCTGGGCAATCAATTGGGAATTACACAAATACATATTGTGCTCACATATAGTACATACCATATATTTTTCTGCATATCTTTGACTGCACGGACCACATAGGGGCAGAGAGCCCCACGAATAAATAAATAAATAGCTGGGAATTTGATTAGTTTCGTATGGGTTTCGAAAATCGAATGACCCCCAGCAATAAAGTGCAAATCCCAAAATTGTCTGTATAAAATAGATACAAATTACGGTCAACGCAGTGACGGGCAGGGCACGGCAGGGCAGGGCAGAGCAGGGCAGCAATCCGTAAGGGGTCAGCGTTGGGTCAGCCGTAGCCACAATCTTCCATAAATAATACGTATGTGTTGTTGTGTGGGTACGTCTGAGTGTGTGTTTTTGTCTGTCTGTCTACCTGTCTATCTATCTGTCTGTCTGTTTCAGTCAGTTTCTCTGTTTGTCTGTCTGCTTGTCCGTCATGGTCTACAGGTGTTTGTCTTGGGCCATGTTATACAAGCCTGCGAATTAACAAGTTTAATTGATTTTATAATTGTTCCACAAACAAAGCGACAGGTGCAAAACACATTGCCACACACACGCACCTACAGAGGTGTGTACAAATTGTCAAGAAGACAACAACATGGTCATTAGCCGGCCGAAGTAAGATTTTATCTAACATATATTGGGCATTTGTACAATGATTGCCATTGCTTATTTGGATTGAAGTTGTATCAAGATTGGTCGCCTAATAGCCAGGCTTAGCCAGGGGATTTAAGGCCTCAGGTAAAAAACATGTGCAGGTGCCTTGTGCCAGATAGAGCATGTGCCCTGAAACTTGCTTTGAGTACAGAGTGCAAAGAGATTTTTGAATAACGCCCGCCTTCGTTAATAAATGAATCAGTTTTGGAGGTCATTTAAAGAAAAATTGATTTGAGGCATAGCGAATTTGTGCACTCAATCGAATTGATATGACATATAAATCTGAACAATGAATCAAAACCAGATCAATGCGTTATAAATTATGGCTAGTCCCTCTTATAACTCAGCTATGCAGCTGGGTTGATGTTTGAATTTGTTGCATTGTGTCTGGTGCACTTAATTTTCATTCTGTTACCATCACACGCCAAATGTTTGCTTTTGACATCGCCTGCAACTTGAACTAATTTATATGCCATCAGCGGCAGCCAACAATTGTTGATATTTAGCTCAAACTTAATTGCACTAAATTTGCAAGGCTGCAAACATTAAATTGAAACTGGCAAATTCTTTTCTTTTTTTTTTTAAATTTGAGTAATTTTTATACGTTATTCTAAATGCAATGGTCGAATTTATATTATTTGCTGCACTTCAGCTTGATAGCTCTCAGCAATTAATAAAATGTGTCACACTTCGTCCGCATCACTTAATTTGATTTTGATTTTGATATATTCATTTGGGAAATTTGTTGGTTCTGGTTTAATTCTAGCTGTGTTGCATATTAATTAAAAAAAAAAATAAAGTGCAATCTGTAGTGTGAATAGGTTCTACCTACAAATCGTTTTGCAACACTTGTGCATAAAAGCCTTAAAGCCTTTAAGCTCAGATCTCCCAAGCCTGAACTGAGGCTGTGCTTGACATTTATGTTCTTCAACACGCTCGACCTACTGAAAATATTGCAAAGCCTTATATATGATCTTAAAGCTGTTGCGGCTTAATATTGACCTCTACCCCAATCGAGTTTAACCAACCATAGGTTGATAAATTGAATGATTGGAGCTCAAGGCATATAAGCTCTTTGGCTGAGTAAGATTAGATAAAGATTTTATTTTTTATTTAAGCCACTGATTTGGTTAAAATATTGGAGTTCTATGTTCAGAGGGGCTTGTTTCTAACCGCCTTTGGTCTCAATGGGATATGTCTAACTACTCTCCTTCGGGAACTTATTGTGACAGCTGTACACATTGTTTTGGACTGTACTGTACTTTTGATTCGGCTAAAGTTGTCTTTAAAACTGGTAACACACCTGGCCAAGCGGTTAAAGCGTTTACCGCGACACGGCAGAAGCAAAAAAAGAAAGACACAAGTGTTGCCCAATAGTAAAATTAATGGAGATACAAAGATTGCAAAAAATAAGCAAAAACCGAATCTGAAACGTTTTCAGACTTCACACAGACAAAATGCAATTAAAATCGCGTTGTAAGCACACATATTGATGGCGGCGATTACACAAATATTTCATGTAGCCGCTGCCCATGCCCGTATATTTCGTACATGATACATTCCCGTATATCTATAGATATGTACGGCCGTATGCCCAGGAGTGGGGCACATGTGTGCGTGTGTGGGCGTGTGTAATACGAGGCACGGCAATCAGAAATGCAGCGCGGCACTCAGTTTCGCATGGGGCGCGGTTCTATTTGAATGCCAGCGACAATTGCCGCGGAATTTTCAATGCACCATCAAGTGTGCAGCATGCGCCCGCCTGGGATTGGTTCCGGGTGGCGCACGTAGTCCATGCGCCTGGCATCCGCCTGGCCGCCCCAGCCCAGACTTGAGCTCTGCCAGTCAGACAATATGCATGAGTATCAATCGGAAGAGTTATTTCAACTATGCCACAACATGCCTCGCACTTAACATCAACAAATTTCATATACCAGAGGTTACAGTACTTATTGGCATAGAACTAAGTTTTTGTTTTGTTTTTTTTTTTTTTTTTTGTGGTGCATTAGCAAAATACTCTATGCTTCAGAAAGATTCCACATGTCATGCTTATGGGAAAGGTATTTGTATTCTTGTGTTCCAACCAGGGGGACTCAAGCTAATATTTGCCCAATTGCTGAAACACGCATTTTTCTTTTTATTTTAACAACAATTGACTTTGGAAAATGACTAAACATAATCTTAGTCTGCGATACATTTGCCAAAATGTGCCTAAGGTAACTTCAATGCATTTATCATCTGAGTGTAACTTTTAATATGAACCGTGCCTTGAATCAAATCAGATGCTAAGCCATTGAGACAGAGTCAAGGCATAAGATACTTCAGGGTCAATTGGTTTATTTTAATAGGCGAGTTGGTTCGCGTTGTGAACCGAACCACAGAAAATGTTGTTTGGGCTGGCAGCCCTGCTTTTGTGACAAATATTTGAAAATTATCTTATCGGCTGGTAAACAGCAAAAGTGTACTCTCTATACGCCAAAGCAAAACATAATAGTAGACATCTCTGATCCCATATAGTAGTTTATTTTTGATCAAGTTTAGGAGCTGATACTATATAGCCATATATGTCTGTCTGTCTATCTTAGTTAAATCATATTTATCTCAAAGCTAGTCTGGGAACTTTCAATAAGACTTCCAATTGTGCGTAAAACATATTCATATGCTTGCTTTAGTAGGAATCTTTTAAATTTAGATTATGTATAATACTATATATTTACTGTCCCATCAAATTGGTTAAGAATATAAACATATTAGCACACACCGACGCGATTTTGGGCGTGGCGACAAAACAAACATATGACAGCATTGTAGTTGACAATTATTCTTTTATGATTTTCCTTTATTGTTTTCTAAATAATATTTGTTGTAAAAACACTAACAAATGAGATAAGCAAATATTAAAGCTGACGAGTCCCACTGAAGTTGAGCCGGCGGCTTCTCTTAGACGCACAGATGAACTACCTCAGAGATTTCCGGAAGAGTATCTTTTGTACGGCATCGACAACCGATATGCAATGCCTGATGGTTTTTATTTTAAAAGCGTACTTCGAATAAAAGCATGACTTGGGAAGCGTATAAAAGGATATTGTATGGCAACCATTTGGCGGTGACAGTGGCGCAACTTTATCGACTGACAGCGACAGTCGGCGGTGGCAACAAGTCGTATGAGCAATATGCGCATTATTTACAATACACACAAAACGCACACACATCGGTTCGGTAAATGCTGTTGTATTTTTACATGCCACACGTCAATAATAGACGCAATACCAGCGTACACAATGCCCGGCGGAATAGATAGACGGGATGAATGTGAACGAGCTGTGGGTAGCTTACGCTCTCCTTTAGCCTCTCCTCTCTCTCTACATACCCACTTGGGCGCCCTGCTTGCGCCGGGCGCGCGCTATCGATTACCAATCAATTCGGTATCAGCTTTGGCAATTGTTGATTTTATTGCGTTGACAACGCCCGCGGGCCGGTGCTGGGATGGCGGCCATAATGGGTTGCTCACTGCGCCACATTACTAATTAAAACTCAAACGTAAACGCAGCAAGAAGAACTTCAATTTCTTTATTGACTGTGAACCAAACCTTAAAGCTGTCTATAGAATAGCCAAACCTAAGCCTAAACGTAACCAAACAACCCAAGTCCTTTCTTTTGGGCTAAAACTGAGCATTATTTAAGCTAACTTTGGAAAATAAGAAACATTAGCCGCGAGGCAGCCGTACATATGAGCCAGCGGGAGGTCGCAGCTTCAAATGGGTGCTAACAATAATAATTAAAATGTTTTGTTTGTTATGATTGTTTTGTCAACCACAAGCCTGCCATGCGAATCGCTTGGCAAGCTGCAATTAATCACTTGCCTATCAAGGTGGGCCAAGTTTGCAGCCCCCGTGAAGACAATATGTGTATTTTTGAATTTGACAAGTATTTTTTGTTTGTTTCGTTGATAATAATAACAATGAATCTACATATATATCAAAAGAAAGAAAATGATAATAATGCTGGTATTTGTGGCTGGTATTGATATTGAATATTAATATTGAGCTTGTAATTGAGACGTGGTTTCACACATAGGGATCACCAGGTTTTTCGAATCGAATCGCCCAGAACGTTTGTGAGGCTTGCCGATGGTCACAGATGCGGCATTAAAGATGAACCACAATGCCATGAAAAATGACAGTGGTCGGCTTCGGGGCAGCCATTTGAGCGTGCAAAGCAGTCAATACTCTAAGCCTCTGCCTCGCTGCTCTGCTCTGCTCTGGTGCTCTGTTGCTCGGGGGCTGCGGTAGCGACCTTCCCCTGGGAGCCAGGCTGTGGCTATTGGCCCTGGCCTCGGTCCCGGGCCCCGTTCCTGGCTCCGGCTTCAGCTGTTAAGAGCAATTCCAATGTGTGTAATTTTGCGTGAATTTATGTTTTGGTCTTAAACTTTGCTGCCGCAAGATCCCTCACTTGCTCCCAGCACTTCTCACTAGCCAGAACTTGTGGGCGGGTCGGCGTAACATGTGCGCCATTCACACGCCCATAACGGTCTCAGTGGGAGCTGACCGGCCCGGCCGGGGATCGGGAGACCTTAGCTTAAACGTTTCGTAAACGGCCATTAGGCCACGGTGATGGCAACCATGCCCGAAAATAATAATAATAAGAAAACAAAAAAAAAAAAAAATAAAAAAAAAAAACCCAGCCAGTATATAGAAATTGTAATGCATAGAGGTCAAAATTTGTTTGTCTTGGGCGTGGCCACTAGACAATGAGTAAAATGTAAGTACACACGCGTGCATCAGCTCCTCCGGCACAGCTCATAGGTAAGGGGCTGACGGGTAACGGGCGTGTTTCAGTAGAAGTAACACATGTGGCTTATTTTCAATTGTTTATGTGTGGAGTCTTTTAAGGAAAGATAACCAGCTTGGGTCCTTCTACCTATTTAGTCAGGAATGAATTGTAAACAAAATGAATACCTTGGCATTTATAAAAGTCCGAATATTTTAAATCATTTTCGTTTCATGGCAATTCATTTTTTCTTTCAAGGGGCTAAGGATTAGATTCGACTCTTGTTTATTCAACTCATGCGGTTTAACGTTCCTGACAAACAAAATATTTCAATTCCAGCTTAAAGTGAGGCTGCTTCAAATAAGCTTAAAATCAATTTTAAAAATAGCAACATTTCCGAGTCAAACTTATATCAATAATATAGAACGCTTTCTATATGTGCTTAAAATTGACTTATCTCATGTTGGGGAACATGCAATACCCGAGCTATATGCCTGAGAGACTTTTAGTATTAGCCAAATATTATTCTTAATCAAATGCAAGCGATCGGATCTTTGGTTTGCATTGCGACAATCGGAGCTCTGGTGCATAAGCTTATACATAATAATATTAAGACATTTATTTTAAGTTCTTGTCAGCAAATGTCTTTAGTTTCATTTCGTATTTCATATGATATTATGTATTGGGATTAAGTATATGTGGATATCTGTTCTTTGCTCATCCGCATACTGCATACATAAAATGTTCAAGCATTTTAATAGACATTATTTTCCTGTTTCGATTTCAGTTACAGAAAAAGAAATACGTCAATGGTGAGTATGGGAATTGGAAATGAGCGGAAAATAAATATAAATAATGCGTTCTAATTGTAAACATTTGCCAAACACAATTTTAGGCACAAAGGATTTCTAAAAGACTGTCCGAATGGTTTACTCACTGAGCAAGTAGGTAGCACACACAGATACACACACGCATACACACGCACACATGCACACTAAGCACATGTTTAAGTTGATTCAATTCATTCAAGTCATACAGTTAATTAAGTTAATCTGCTCAATATGTGAACACTAATTTCTTGAAACAGCAACGGATCCAACAGCAACCAGAGTAACAGCAACAACCACGACAGTTACTGCAGGATGTACAGATTCGCCCATTCCCTGGAGCCCTAGAGGCACATCCTGCTACCAAAATGAATGACAGGCCATTTCCAATGTGTTGACGGCAACAGTTGTTGTTGCTGTCGCTTTCGCTGTTGTTGCTGTTGCTGTTGTTCTTGCTGCTGTCGACTGTTGTTCATATTAAAATTTATTAATGCGCGCCTCATTGAAAGACAACTTGAAATGCTCACACACACACACACACACACGGAAACACACACACGGAAACACACACACAGAGAGAGACACGGACACGAACACCTTATTGAGCCACACCCGCAACGTCCTAATTGTTTCTCATCTCTCTGCCAGGGTTTTATCAAAATCTACAAACAATTTTTCCCACAAGGCGATCCCAGTAAATTTGCATCGCTTGTGTTTCGTGTCTTCGACGAGAACAATGTGAGTATTAAGGCCATCAGCTTATGTCCTTGTGGCTGTACAGCTGCCACCCCGCCACCCCACCATTCCGCCAACCCGCCAACCCGCCATCCTGCTGCCATCACACAACAGTCAGCCAGTCAGGCAGTCAGCCTGCCAAGCAGTCGCTTTGACATTGATGAATTTGTACGCAACTCGAGCGCAAAAGTTGACGATTTAGGCCAATTAGCCAAAAATGGTTCGAACAGTAGAGTGAGGCACGAATTGTTTAAGGCCTGATTGTGTGTATGTGTGTGCATGTCTAAATACCCTGTAAAGCGTTCTAGCGTTCAGTATTCAACATATATTTCAAATCTGAAATTAATTCAATTTGAATTATGAGTATGTTTTATTCCAAATAAAAGAAACCTGCTTCCAATTAACATGTACATATGCACAACATTCTTTTTAAACATTTAACCTTCCTATCTTTGATCGACTAGTGTTGGAAAACGCATTCTTCAAAAACTTTTGTGCTCATAGTCCGATATTTATAAGATTTGCAGGGGTTAGATATGGCATCTGAGTGTATTTACATACCACAGCTCCAATCTTTATACAATTTTATTTTTAACTCTTTGGGGAAACGGAAAGATACGGATATTTGGATGTGTGCTTACTATAGTAGAACCTAAATACTTTAATCGAATGCCTCTATATCTTGTAATCTCCGAGTTATGTTAAAGAATACAATGTTTCAAACATTGATATTTATTCATATTATCGAAATGGCGAAGATATTGAAATATATGATATATGATGACATATGATATATAGGAATATTTCTGTAGCTCAACCAGACCAAGAATATACAGTCAAGGGTTACGCTTCTTTATTTAAGGGAACAAATTTTCCAAAACTATATAAAAAATATAGTATATCCCTCGGAGACAACCAAAAGCTTTTCAATATTAATAGAAAAGTGAAAAAAAGGAATGCTTAAAAAATGTAACTGTCTGAGCGTCAGGTCGCGTTAGTTTGGATTAGATCTAGAAGCGAGTCATAGATGTTGTCCTGCATACAAGTCGCGCTCATAGAGAATTTATTAGCAAGTTAGTCATAATACCCTTGCTTTGAGGGCAATCCCGCTGGAGACTCATAAAGATTTATTTATGACTTGTGGCACAGACGGCGGCGGGTGCCAAGGCGGCAGCTGAGGCGGTGGCTCCGGCGGTGGCTTTGGCGGTGGCTCTGGCGATGGCGTCCTCGATGGCGCCCTAAACTTGTTAGCTGTCTGGGGTCTGCACTGATTTGCTCTGCTGTCGTTTCTCCTTCTGTTTCGCTTCTTTCTTTTGTGTTGTTTCTGTTTGTGCTTCCCAGGATGGGTCAATCGAGTTCGAAGAGTTCATACGCGCCTTATCCGTCACATCGAAGGGTAACCTGGACGAGAAATTGCAGTGTAAGTATTTTGCTTCTGCCACGTCATGGAATGAGAGCAATCATTCTGATGCCTGCCGGACTGTGGATACGGCCTCCAATTAATGCCGATTGGCATATTCCATTTGCTCTTTATCTCTGCAGGGGCCTTCCGTCTCTACGATGTGGACAATGACGGCTACATAACGCGCGAGGAAATGTATAACATTGTGGATGCAATCTATCAGATGGTGGTAAATACGATTCCCTCTTCATTTATTCATTCCATTTTGGTTTGGGCTTAACCCAGCTTTTGTCATATGTTGGCAATGTTGGTAATTAAGGAATTTGATGGTATTATTTATGTAGGGCCAGCAGCCGCAGTCGGAGGATGAAAACACGCCGCAGAAGCGAGTGGACAAGATATTCGATCAGATGGATAAGAATCATGATGGCAAATTAACATTAGAAGAATTTCGTGAGGGTAGTAAAGCTGATCCACGTATAGTTCAGGCGTTAAGTTTAGGTGGTGGTTAAACAAATCAATAGCAACGCGCAAAAACTACTCTAACAAAAAACAACAAAAACAACAACAACAAAACATAGAAAAGTTTCTTGACATGAACAAAAAAAAAAAAAACAACTTCAACACCGCTTCTGGTTTTTGGTTACCATTATAAACTCTCTCACAGAGAACTCACACAAATATACTTATATATACATAAATCAATGAATTACTAAAAATACCAAATCTTTAAAGCAATCAGAAATCAGACTCGCCCAAAACTTGCAAAACCAAATAATAACAAATAACAAAAAACAAAGGAAAGAAAAGAACAAATTTTTTTCTCGATTTCGCGCGTCGATTAACATTCAAAATGATAATTTTTTGATATATAAGAGTACGAAAAAAAAAAAAAACAAAATGATGAAAATGCAATTAGAACAAAAATATATATGTAAATATTTCAACATATATATATGTATTTACAAATATATGTATGTGCATATGTACGCATACATACATATGCGTACTTACAAGATATGGCTAAAATCGAAATCGTGGCGTAAGTAGAACGCAGTTCATAGCGATAAAAACTTAAAGTAAATTACAAAAAAAAAAAACGAAGAAAAAAAACATAACAAGTTAATTGAATTACAAATGCGAGTAACGTAAATCAATATTTGAGAATACACCAATTATTAGTAAAACAATATATAAAAACCATAAAAAAAAAATAAATAAAAAATAAAAGAAAAAACAACAACAATCACACAAGAAAACGAAATGCAAACGAGCGCAGCCTTCGAGACATTTATTAAAATTAATGAAAATTAATATAAAATATTTAAAAATAATTGTTGATATACAAAAGCAAGAAACCAAATGGATTTAACTTGATACCATAAATACTTATACATATATATATATATATATATATATATATATATGTATATATATATATATCTATATATATGTATATATATACACCTCATATGAATATGCAGCGAAACCGGCAACAACAACAGCAGCAGCAACAACAATAAGAAACACAGCAAACGTTAATTAACAAAACCAGGCATTAATCAATGACAAGTGCAAAAGCCGCGCAAAACTGAACGTAATTTTTTGAATTAGGCATTACCTATACACACACACACACATACACATAAACACGCACAAGAGATGGGAGCGCAATAAATCGAACGCAATTGTGCTTTATTTGCTTTTTGGAAATCGAACTTTTTGATTTGCGCTTTTATACCTAAGTTAACGTAAATTTGACAATAGACGCCACAAATAAAATATATACAGTTTTTTATATAAAAAAATCCAAAAAATAAATAAAAATAAAAAAGTCAAATGGAAACGAAATAAGTTAACGCACAAACCTTCAACAAACCAAACAACAAATAAAAGCCGAGTAAATATCAGCAGGAAAATGATACAACAGCCACAGAATATGCTACAAAAACAACAACAGCAACTACAACAACAACAACAACAACAACAGCAACAACAACAACAATAGCAATAGCAAAAACTACAACAATAGTCAGCTCTCTGTCACATCTATCTTTCTGTGTAACTAAATGTCCCGTTTGAGAGCCCCAAAAACAGATCCATCATGCGATTTAATTTCTATTCTATATGCGGTTCAGCTTTATTATTGCATTAATTTAATAACCCAGTTAATCTTTTATTACAATCTACTTATATATATTTATATACATACACATATATATATATATATATCTATCTATATACTTGAATACATAGTTGCTACTTCTTATGGCTAATCATGCACACAGACACATACACACACTCACACACACATAGGCAGACTCAATTATTTTATATACATAAACAGATTCACAGCAAAGCCCCAAAATGACGTACACAGTATATACAAATATATGTATGCCTATAATTATAGTGGGGCGATACATGCTTAAGCACTTCAAGCCAAACAATATGACCATAATCATACAGTATGCTCATATGCCATACCCATTATCACATATATATACATAGTATATAATACCATATTCCATATACCTTATACCATACACCATAAGCCATATACCATATACCATATACCTTATACCATACACCATAAACCATATACCATATACCATTATACCATATACCATATACCATATGCCATATGCCATATGCCATATACCATATGCCATATACCATATACCATATACCATTATACCATATACCATATACCATATACCATATGCCATATGCCATATGCCATATACCATATGCCATATGCCATATGCCATATGCCATATACCATATACCATATGCCATATACCATATGCCATATACCATATACCATATACCATATACCATATGCCATATGCCATATGCCATATACCACAAACCGAACTTTTGATCATGGCTCACACGCATTCTTATTGTTTATTTTGCTACTTTTGTGGCCTTGACTTACAATTTGTCCGAACACTTCGAAATTTTGTATCGGCACCTGCATCGAATCTATATATATTTAAAAATAATTATATTATTCACTCTAATGTGCTTATCGGCATTAATAATCGTATAAAGTTTTCTATGCAATTGCTGCAATATTTTCTTATTTCATATACTTTTTCTTACAATTCTTTTCGACCTAGTAAAAGTGCACGCCAAACCGAGCAATTAGAAAACAAAAATTATACCATAAATAAGAATGAAAGAAGAATTAGATTTATAAATAAAAAAGAACACTGTCGCCTAAATTCAAAAAGCTAAAAACTTAAATCAAAATAATAACTTAGATATACATATACACATATATACATATATATCAACATATATCCATATATATCTATATACATATATATGTATATATATTTGTATGCATATAGCTATATACCTACCAATATACTGACACACGCTAATATATATATATATATATAGTAAGCACAACAAGAAACAAACCAAACAAACGCTTCTAAGAACCTCACTGAAATTCTTCGAAAAACAAGAAATAATTATATACTAACATTTAAATAAATAAAATTCACACACAACAAACACACGATTATATTAATAAAAACAAAACAAACAAAAAAAAAAAAACAATGAATATAAAAATTTAATCAATAATTAAATAATTCGAAAGTGATATAGCTGACAAAAACAAATGTGTCTGTAGTTTTTAGTAGTTAAACGTAACAAAAATTGAGGAAAAAAATGAAATATATAAAAACTAAAAAAAATTAACAAATATATGAGAACGAAAGAAAAACTTATTTTCAATATGTTTTTTTTTTTTTTCGAACACAAAGACGCATAAAATATTTATAAAAAAAAAAATGGTGTAAATATCACTTAAGAACATGAAGCCACGCAATCACTGTCACACACACACTCACACATACTGACGAGAACATACACACACACACACATAGCTAAACTGAGGCTTGGACAAGAACCTAGCCCAGAACTACAAAATAAGTTTGTTAACACCAAATATGACGGGTCTTAAGTAAACAGTAAGTAAGTTATTTTTTTTTTTTTTTGGGCATCAAGCAAGGCATTAAAGTCAATTGTAATACAAAGAATGAGTAAAGCATAGTTACAAATACAAAGAAAATACTCATAAAAAAATTAAATAGAAAAAAAGGAAACAAAACAAAAAAAAAACGTACTTAATAATAATTTTGCAAGGCGCGGACTCATATTTCAGCCGCAGTTGAAAACACACGAATGTCAAGTTAAACGTTTCACAAGCAATATTTTACAACAATTATATATGTATATATATACATACATATGGGGAATGATAATTATATATATATACATATACATATAAATATACAAGCAAGCATAAGCAAATAATATACATACATAGATACGAGCTCTTAAAGTTGACAACACGATTGGCATATTAAAAAAAAAAAATTAGAAAAAAAATCAAATATTGTAATAAATTGTTTTTTGTGCAATGTCTGAGCAAAGCAACATTTACATTCAACAACAATAATAAAACAAATATATTATATAAAAAATGAAATAAAGAGAAGGCGAAGACAAAGTCGTAGAAGTAAAAAAAGAAAAAAAAAAACACACACGACACATTTTTAAATATACTCTTTAGCAAAACTCGAATCTGATTTCTTTGCTAAAAAAAAAAAAGTTTAAAATACAAAACTAGAAATTTAATTAAGCAAACGATACCCAAAAAAAATTTCAAAAAAGATGAAAAACAAAAACAAAAGAAAACAAAACAATAAAAAGATTCCCCTTTCGTTTTGATTTCAAATTTTGGTATTACTATTTACTGTTATTTATTATTACAATGATGATATTGCCGATTATTATGTATACACATACTTATATACATACATGCTAACTTATAAACCACAACAATGAAAAAAAAAAAAGAAGAAAACAATGCAAATTCTTTTATCATCTTTATTTTTTTTTTTTTCAAAGTAAAGAAGAAAAAAACAAAAACAAAAAAAATCCAAATGGAAGGAGAACATTTATCTTGTTACTGTCAGAAATATTACTTACTTCAAATAAACATTTTAAAATGATATGCCAAATTGGTGTCGAGTAGTTTTTACCGTGATTAACTTAAGTGCCCCAGCCATTAAGTCCATAAAAAATGCATAAAAGGTAAGTCCAACTAACAAAACACACAACCCCATCCTCAATCCTCACCTGCAACCTCACCTTTGCATTTCGCCACAAATAGTAAGCACTTACCACAAAAGACCGCTGCGAAATGAACAGCTGCATTGGGGGCCACTTACAGGCCAAGTCCTGGCCCCCCACCTAGCTAACCATCTGGCGTATTATGAATCTTTTAATAGTTACGTCAGGCAAACCAACTTTCATCAGTTCTGTGGGTATCTAAGCGATTTGTTCGACGGCAATTATGGGCAATAAAATAGAAGTGTGCATTTCGTGCTCGCGCATTCGCTTGCATTGCAAATTAACGCGGTCAAGAAGTTCAGGTAATTGATTAAAATATTGTGTAGGCCAAAACTATTTGAATCAGGTGTTAATTCAAAACATACCAAAGATTTATTAGCTTGAAGTCGAACAGTATAATCAAATCTACTCAAAAACACAAATTTCGCTTTCGTGTTGAAATTGGCAACTAGTTTAAGCTTTGATCGATTGACAGGGCATGTGTTCAGTGTGTGTGTGTGTGTGTGTTTGTGTTGGGGTCAAAAGCAAATGTTGGTAACAGATAAAGCCAGCCAAAACACTTTTTTTTATTCTTAAAGAGTTAACTTAAAGCTGTTGAAAATTAAAATATATATATATATTTAAAAACTCAAGATATATTTTAAAGGCGCATGCTATTCATATAAAATTGCTTGATTTCTTTGAGAATTGTTAAGAGTTAAGAGCTTACTACTTTACAGTGAATACTAGTAGATTAGAAGATTGTACTATTTAAAAGAACCATGTGAAAGTTTTACAAGTTACACCTGGGCTTAACCTAAGCTGTTGTAGTCTGAGCTAGTTGAGACGGAAGTCCGAGTTCAGGCTCGCAACTATTGTTTATACAAATACCTGCTATTATCATAGTAATTACACAACTGTAAGCTGGTATTAAGCTGACCAACAGCTGTGCAAGGTTCACATTCGCAGTTTGAAAACGTTTTGTTGTTGCATTCATATCATGAAAGCTGCAAAAGAAGAAGAAAAATATTGTTAGATATACCCCGAATGCAAGTATTAGAAGACTTGTATCATTGTTACTTAATAATATACTCGGCTGTTTAAATTGCATTCCAACTATCATAACACTTAATTATATTGTACTTACATTCAACCATTTCGAGTCCTTGGTTATGATTTTAATAGGCATTACAGGATAATCAGTTGGAAATCTACTCTAATAAACTATTCAGCACAACCGTACTTTTAGCCCATAAATGTTTTTGTACTCTGCGGCTGGGAGTGCGCACTCGTTCGGTGGAAAAGAAAATGTAATTATATTTAAGAATCATAAATTGTCAATCACATAATGTGGCCAAGGCAATGGCTTTAGAATGCGATAAGCTCATTAATTTCTAGCACTTTGCGGTAGTTTTTGTGCCAAAAGGAAATTAAACGGACATCTAGAGTGGGGATTCCTGTCATTTGTGGTTAGTGGCCGCTTGGCACTTCATTCACTCCATTCACTCCGTTTGGCACATTCAGAGTTCATTCAGCACATTCAGTTCATTTGGTGGTCAGTCATTAAAACGGCTTGGGGCTCAGTTCAGTTCGTTTCTGGGTTTGTGGTTTTCGGAGTTGATTTGATTATGCTTTGGACTTTTGCATATTTTTAGCTCATATCGTACAGTCGGATTCGGAGATGGGTTCGATTCGGCTGGTATGCAATGCATGTTATGCCCCTTACATTCAGCCAACGCCCTCGCAGTGCCCATGGAGCATGTGTGTGAGTGCGTGTGACAGAATGTTGACACTTGAATGCGGTCGGCCTGGTTGTGGGTGGTTTAATTACCGTTTGCTCTTGCGGTTTTAAATTTGGAGCTGCCAAATTGAGCATGAAATAATAATAGAATCGGGACGTACGCATTTGGCATTGCGCAGGGACACGTTGCATGTACGCGGCTGGGACCACGTGCATAATTAATAAATAAATACACTGCAACAAAAACCTGCTGCCAGATACTTACTAGCTGCCTGTCGTCTGTGGTTGTGCGGGCATCGACGCTCGGCGTCTGTTTATCTAGGCAGCCCAACTATTTATAATGGAAAGGCTGCCAAATAAAAATGAAAATAGCTTTCTATCTTTTTTCGTATTTGTATCTATAAAATTGGCTCTGTCGCTGGCAACGTTGCTGCCGTTGCCGCTGCCGCTGCTGCTGCTGCTGCGGCCAGCACTGAGCTAACAAGCAAATTAACGAATCAGATAAATGTAGCTACTATGCAAAACAATGCCACGTACATGAATCTCTCTAGATGAACAAATTCAAATTTAACAATTTTACAGCATAGCATTGCCCGCACTGCCTGCAAAGCACCTCATATGCCACCCACACCCAACAGCACACCCAGCCCCACCCACACCCCGCATAGCACCCGTGGCACCCGTGGCACTCGTGGCTATAATGCGCCCCGATCAGTTCAGCTAAAACAAATAAACAATAATTGGCTGCGTTCAATTCCTCAGTATTTCGTTTATGCGTTCCGTTTATTGCCACCGCGACGCGTCGCTTCTGCCGCTGCTGCGTCGACGTCGCTTATTCTGGCCAACAGCAGCAGCAGCAGCAGCAGCAGCAGCAGCAGCAGCGGCAGCAGCAGCAACAGCGGCAGCAGCAGCAACAGCGGCAGCGGCAGCGGCGGTACCCAGTAAGCAAGTCCGTATCCGCGTCTGCGTTCACGTTCGAATCCGCTTTGGTACGTCGATTGCGGCCCATTAAATGCGCCTCTTACGTACGCAATTTCCAATTTATTCTTTGCGCGTTCGAATTTTGGAAGCGCTACGCAAAAGTCGCTGGGCATAGGGGCATAGACTATAACATATACGTGCTGCCAGACATATACGACTCTAAGATATATACAGTATATTGATGTTGTTTATAAAACAAAAAACTTTAATAATTGAACAAATATTACAAACAATTTCTATATCCGAAGCCCATGGAAAGGGCTGTTTCCCTGAAAAAATGTAACCCAAAGTTAAAAACTCGCTATGGCAGCTATGCCCTACTTCATATGAGTCGATCATTTAATGTGTGCTTATAGTCTAAATATTGCATTTGCATTTATTTATAGTAATGTGCTATGTATTTAGGTACATGTATCTAATATGTGTATATATATTTTATATATGGTATATTTATTTTGCAACTGTGCACATAATTGAATAGCTTAAATTTGGTTGTACAATTGAGATCTGAATTTGTTCTAGAATTTTACATTTATTTACACTGTTTAGATTTCGGATCTTCCTGTTTGAAACTTTCCGTTCTTCTGATGAAAGATGCGGAGCAAAGTTATGGTATATTGTAAGCAGAATATTGTTTAGGCACAGACATCAAATATATATATATATATATGTATATATATATGTATATGGAACAAGGTTGTGTTAATGGTTTAGGTTTTTTATGTCCAAAGCGGAAGCAATCTGTTTGTTCGCTTTGAGAGGTTAATTTGAAAATTCGGGGAATGTGTATTGATTTTAATTGTTATTGAATTGAATAATTTTCTTCTTGTCTTGGCTTGTGTAAAGTTTCCTTTCTATGCCGTGAACCTAAAAAGGGTATACTGTTTTTTGGCAAATGTAGAGCATACACTCTCCTATAAAGATCAGGATAGGAAGCTGAGTCGATCTAGCCCCGCCCGTCTGTCTGTCCGTCTTCGTTCAAACGGTCTAGAAAGCCACAAAAGCTAGAGACATGACAGTTTCGATCAAAATCGATTTTGAGACATGGAGTTAAGGGAAGAAGCACAACAGCTGAATGTGTGTATGTTTAATATATATTTATGTATGTGAAAAAGGTAGTTAGAATGCTTGCAAAGGTAGCTCGGCTATCTCGAATTCAGGTTATCTTCTAGTTGGGGAACTTGTGACAGCTCTGATTGTGTATTAAATACGTTAAATATCATTAATATTATATGCATATTTTATAATATATAATAACTATATAATAACTAATATACATATTTATTTGGTTTTTGGCTAGAATACTGTGTGACTTCTTAGCGCGTTCTAGTAAATTAGTACGCAAATCCATCAGACTTTATTTTTATTATATTCTTAAATTGAATTCCAGCCCGGAACGCTGTCCACCTAATATTTGACTTCTTTTCTGCATCACAGCGAAGTGTGTGAATTCTTAATGATCTTTCACAAAGATCTTTTAAAATTCGTGAATATTCCACAACTGCTTGTGGAATTTTGCGTTTCAGCTTGCAGCTACAGCACAAATGGTACCTTGGGTGCTCTGCATAGAAAATCGCAGCTTCTAAGCGCGGTGAGTACGGGCAGAGGCCACCTGTTGTCGGGTAGCGGCTACAGAATTCGTCGAAGTGCGAAGGTAATGGGGTTTTTATGGCAAACAAATTTGCGCTTTGCTGTATCTGTTGCGCTTGATTGTTTATTTGTAGCTACGCCTTTTGTTTTTAATGCTCCGACGATGGGCGTCTCGTACGCTTTTAATTATTTACTATATTTAGGCAGCGAGCCCGATAGAAGCTAACGATGCTACATACATACGATCATCGGGCATTGTTGCTGTTAGTTTGCCGCAATTAGTTAGCAGCAGCAGCAGCAACAACAACAACAGCAGCAGCAGCAGCAACAACTGTCGGCACCTGCACAAAAATGCAAAGTAAATTCTCAATTCTCGATTCTCAATTCTCAATCTACAATTTCTTATTGTAGTTCCGCCTACGTCGGCGCTGTGGCAGCTCTTCCGCTGCTGCTGTTGCTGTTGCTGCTGTCGACGCCGCTGCCGGCTGCCACCGGGCGGACTGGTTGGATTGGTGCCACTCGGCTGCCGTTTGCCATTCGCACAAGTTGCATGTTAGGCGCGTTTTTGGCTGCCTTCTCATTGTTATTTTATTTTCGGTTCGCGTGCGTTGTGCATATTTTAAAGTACTATTTTTTTTTAATTCTTTCACAGTTTTTTTTTTTTTTTTTTGTACTTTATTTTATATTGTACTTTTGGCCTCTCTCTCTCTCTCTCTCTTGCCAGAGTTGTTTAACTTGGTGCTGGTCGCCGTTGTTGGCGATCTTTTGTTTTAATTTATTTTATAAATTTTCTTCATGTTTTTTTTTTGGTTTTTGTTTTTGTTTTGTGTGGTGCCGTGCAAATTTCTCAAAGTTCGTTCAGTTTTGCGCGCCTCGTCGCTTTTCTAATTAAATGTGCGCGCTAACCCGTTAAATGGTTTTTGGCCCGTTTATTTATTTAAGCCGCAACTCTGATAACTGTTGGCCGTAGGTTTCGAGCTTCGGATTTTGTTTGTGCGCGGCTTTTGCGGTGTCTATACGATAATTGCCAATAAATTAAATTGCATCAGTTTAATTAGAATATTTATAATTGTTTCGTTTTCGACTGCTCAGGAAATAACAACAAGCACAACCTTAAAAGCATTGACCGCAATTGCATGTGGGCGTGGTCGCCACAAGTGCACACAGGTTCGTAAATACGCTTTATAATTAGTCATTTACTGACGTCTGCCCTTTATAGTCACACACTCTCTCTCTCCCTCTGCCTCTCTCTCTCGCCTTTTAACCCACTCGGACACAGGCAACGCATGTGTGGATTATGTGGTATCAGAAATCACCCGCTTGACATGATTTAATTTTCCAGGTAGTTATCTTATATCAGTGAACATATCATGGGATTAAACAGATTTCTAAAGCACTCATAATTTTGGCCTTGAGAGGGATTCAAAAGAAGGGGAGGCAGAGTGGGAGAGGGAGTGCGGTTAAAAGACCGCATTAAACTCAAAAGATTTTATCTGGCAGAGGCCGACTAATATCAGCTGGTTAAATAATGTCGTAATAGCGGCTGTTAACCGGCTTTGTCCGGGTCAAGTGGTCACTCTTCTACTTTGATTTTCGCTTCCTTTTTCAATGTCTACGTAGAAATTTGCTTTTATTTCTGTTCGAAGGCTGGGCATTCTTACTTAAGGAACAAATTTCTTTACGTGCATTTTGGGGGAGGAAAAACGAGTTTAATTTAATCTCAATAATTTAAAATATGCATGTACACCTGTTTATATATATACAAATATATATCAGTCTGGTTTGTCATGGCTGCATTGCTTGAAGTAGGCCTATTATTATTTAATGAGCTGTGGGAAATATAGTTTTGGAGTCCACAGTTCGCTGAATGCTTGTACTTGGGCTGTATTAACGCGGCGAGCTCTTTTCAATATAAGAGATATTTTCAGCTGCGATGCAAATATTCTGCCCATGGTTACAACTTAGCTATCTTGATACGAAAACGGGGAATATAGAAATATATACAAAATTGAACATCTGTTGATAGCTGGCATCAATTTACTGGCCGCTTGAACGGGAATGATGTAAGAAAGGAAGGAATGAATGGAAGGAACTCTGTAAAGTTTGGACAACACGTTAATTTTGAATGGATGGAGACTTAGACTGATGACGTTTCCGCCGGCTGCGCGGCACTGCATTTGCTTGGGGCAGCTGACCCAGCAGCAGGAAATCAATTGCCAGACGCCATTTGACAGCTGCATGAGTTGGTTAATAGAGTGGTTGGGCGGTGGTTAGGCATGCTTACCTGCACTCTCGACGGCGAGCAGGAACCACGATAACGAGGCCACAAAGCGCATAAAGTAGAAAGCATCGTTAATCAGCCAAGTGGAAAGTCCGGGACAGTAATGGAATATGAATTTAGCCCACGCCCACTTGGAATGGCCCAGCGCGTGCAGTGCCTGATCGAATATGTTAAAAAATGGCTGCCATATGGAAAGCAGCACATAATCCACCACAAAGAGCATTACGAACAGCTCAAGCAGCAGCAGGAGCTTCCGCACCAATGGCGCGTACCGTTTTAGCCGCTGCGGTCGGTACTGGGCCAAGGTTAGCAGCAGGCCGTTGGCAAAGAATATGGTCGACCAGTTGAGGGCCTGCGGCTCGGGCAGCTCATCGGGCAGCTTCTTGGCATTTAGCATTCGTATCACATGCCACTGGTTCCACTGCAGCAGCAGATCCAGCGTCAGCAACAGCATCGATTCATAGAAGTCTCGCACCAACTCTTCGGCTCGCATCTGCATTCTGCGCATGCGCAACTGTGTCATGGTGCTTGAGGGGTTTCGTCGAATTTAGAATGAAGAATACGGAATTGGCAATTCAGAGTTTGGAGTACGCTATAGATGCTGTGTGTTTGTGGAAGTATCGAAAGATTTTGTGTGATTTGTCGGAATATACAGAAATAAATACATTTGAGAGTTGAAAGTCAGACTTTAAGCCACCCTTGATATCTCTGGTAGTGCCAGTGTCCCTTCTGAACATCCACCCATCGTATATGAAACAAGACTAGTAGTCGAGCAAAAGATGTTGGTGTAGTAAGAAGTTGTCAATTTTATAGTGCCCACCTTTGAATTACATTAACATATGTTCCTAATATACACAGCACTTAAGTAAAATAAGATGTACTGAGTGTGCTAGAATAAAAGTTAGAAAGGGGAATTAAATGAGAGAAAGAGAGTGAAAAAAAATAGGAAGAGCGAGAGATTTCCAACACAAATTTTTAATTGAACACACATTCAAATAAGTAAAGCCTGTGAGCCTTACACGAATTAATGAGAATCGCATAGAAGAGCATTCGGTGGCGCAGCGAATGTTTTGAACGCGTTTAAGGCCCATTCTAGGGCTGTAGTAATTTTTATTTTGAACTAATCTCTTACAATATATGAAAGCCTTCTTTATGTTATTGGGCATGGAATGTAATAAATATTGCATCCTGCATATTTTTATTTAGAGTTTTAACTCAGTTTATTGGTGGTTTTTTTGCTTGCAAAACGGAGGAAAGATTACGCATGCATTTTGCACGCACGTGCTGGTTCAGCTCGCAGACTGGGAACTGTCCACGAAATCAATTTCTCTGTCAAATCAGCAGACTGAATGAATAGGGGGCGCCCAAATTTGGCTCCACATTCTATGCCCGCCCCTACCATGTTAAGCTGCCATAATACATTCTCATAGTAAAAAGAGCGGAAAGGACACCCTAATCCTCCCTCTTTAAGTCAGAAACTACAATTCTCGACTTGCCTTTGGCTTGCTGGCTGTTTCAATCAAAGCAGTTGTTGTCATACCCTGTACTCACATGGGCTCACGTGCAGTCCCACAGAAATCACATTTCATTCAACATATCACAAGCTACAGATGTATGTCCCATAAATTTCAATATCATTTTATAGCTATTAATATGTAATATATTTTTTATCTATTTGTATTGATAAGACCCTATAGTATCCGGATGACGAATAGGGTATCTGTTGGTCGTTCAGTCTCGCTTTGAGTATTCTAGCTTATTGTTATTGCTCTTGTTTTTCGCATTTTCTGCACAACAAAACAGCAGACCCCAAAGTCACCGGCGTCAAGTCAACAAAGCCTGCCACCGACTACAAAAATATCCATGGCAACGGCTGCCCAAAAAAGAATGTGCACCACACAAAAATGTTCGAAGCATTCGCGATTAAAACTCCTTTGATATTTATATCTCTCATAAGTGAATTGCCTATCTGATATAATTATAGATATGAAAGTCACTAGCATATGCATATTTTAATATGATAAGAGTGAGCTATAAGAGGGAAAACATAATTTAAATTTATTTATTTGTATGCTAGTCTCATACTCTTCTCTTACCATGTTACCAATATGTCAAATCTATTTCCTCAAAAAGTTATTGATTTCGTATTAAAAATAGAAGTATAGAAAAATAAGACACTAAAGAAAAAACGCAGCTTCAATTGTGACAGAGTGTAGTTGTAGTTTGAAATCGACACATTTGTCGCCTGTCAATCGGCAGTTTTGCTGTTTAAGTGTGTGCGTGTGAGCTTCTGTGGTTACCATTGAACCTATCCATTGCCTTCATCTTGGGTTCTGCATTTGGAACTGGTCGTCGTCATATTGTGTTTGGCAAATCGTTTGCGATAAAGCCAACTACATAATGTCTCTGTGTAGGCCAGGGTGGGGGCGGTGTGTAAACGTGGTCGGGGAGCATAAAAATGCTAAACCAGCGCTATGCTGGCGTCGCAACGACGCAAACACCCGACTTATATGTCCATGTGTGTTTGTTTGTATGAGTGTGCGTGTGAGGGGAGGAGACGGTTGGACGCAGTATAATGCGCGTTATCCTTGATTGCCTGCTTCGATAGCAGGATATGAGGCGGCTGCAAACAAGCCGCTCAAAGCTTGTTCTTCTTTTTATACCCTGTTCCCATTGCAGCTGGGTGAAGAAGGGTAAAGCAGGCCTAAGAAGTCATCGTAGGTTCTTAACAGCTGGAGATTTTATATGTTGATTTCTTTATGGAACATACAGATTCGTTAGATTTCTTTGGAAAAAGTATTCTCAAGAGTTTTTCATAAATTTTGAATTTATGACGGCACAGGGTATTTCCAGGTCGAGCGACACTGGCCACAGTATTTATACCTTTTTTTTTTAGTGTGACAATCGTGATTTTGCTCTTTTTTTTTGTTTGCGGCTCTTGTTCCTTTTTCTTGGCCTTTGGCCTGTCTTCTTTGTGCTGCTCTTGTGCTCATCATCATTTGCCAAAAGGGCAAGCAAAGAACTCATTGGGATTTGATTGGTGTAACACACGGCTTACAAGTTGCCAACTTGCCAAGACTTACCAAGTTGCTGACCTGTTCCTTCCCGGGGCTAATTGATTTCAGAACTGCAGACTGTCAATGATAGTCGGCCAGGAGGCAACACTGTGGACATGCCCAACTAAACAACTAAGCAACAATTTTTAATTGTGCCCGGGCTAAGTTGCCGTCATCGTCGCCATCATCATTGGCGAGGCTGGGGCCAAATGCAAATGAGCGAGCGCCCCGAGAAATATGAACGAGGTCAATGATTGTTTACACAACACTCGAATGCTGTTTACTCGGAGCCATCCAGCGAACTAGGCAAAGTGCTAGGGTTTGGATGAGACGGCGAGACGGCAATACGGATCGACAGGGCGACAGGGCGACTGGGGCACCGGATGACGGGAAAAACAGAGGCTGACTATGGGCGTATGGGCGCATGGGCGGCCCACATAATGCCGCCGCTAGACACCTTCCAGAGCTACGGCCTCTGGTTTGCCGAAGGGCCCCCACCTTTGGTTAGGGCCACTTGGCTCACATGTTGTTAACTACCTCTCGCTGACATGCCCAGCAGCACGTGTGTGTGTGTGTCTCTGTGTGTGTGTGTGTGTACATACGTATCATAAACATAAATGTGTGCTTATATAGATTTAGCACTTGCAACACTTACCCGCCACGACACGGCCTTAAATAAGTAGCCTGATTACTCCACAATTGACTGGATCAGGTGTCATCTGGCTATTAAAAGGTCACAAGCTGTTTTATGTGTGCCTTACAATGTTTAAAAGACTCGCTGTCCAATGAGTTGCAATGGCAGAAATAAACCATAAAATGAAAATTTTAAG